ACCACAACAGTTGCTCCAGGTAACTGCATAAGAATGCCGGAATGTTGTACCTTGTCTCCTCAAAACATAGATGAAACATTTCAGGCCCTCCTTCCTGCATCAGCTACAGCTAGAATGTCTGCTCCTAGCACCCCACCTCCTTCCTGCTTTTTCCTGACTTCAGGTCAGAGAAAGCTGACTGCTGAGTTGTTTTTTTTTTTTTTTAAATAAAGGAATGTATTGAATTACATAAATAAAAGGTAGGATTAGATTTGGCTCAGGAATTGGCTGACTCTATCTATACACTCAAATGATAGCATCTGGTCATAGCTTCATTCTCTTGACTCCACTTTCCTCTGTGTTTAAGCTTTATTCATATAAATGGTGGTGCCCAGGAGTTCCAGTCTAACTTCACATTTTAGGCTAGCAATTCCATCAGAAAGATAGCTTTCTTTTCTTTTTCTTTTTTTTTTTTAATATATTTTAGTTGTTGATGGACATTTATTTATTTATTTATTTGTATGTGATGCTGAGAATCGAACCCAGTGTCCCGTGCATGCTAGGCAAGCACGCCATCACTGAGCCACAACCCCAGCCCAGCTTTATTTTCTTAACATTGCCAGAAATCTCCCAAGGAATGAAACTCCTTGAAAGCATTTGGGTCATTTGGCTATTGATAATATATCCCTTTGCCAGAGTAGTTGTGATGTACCAATTAGCCAGTTCTGGGTGTTGTTCCCAGTCCTGAAGCTAGGAATAGACAGAACACCCAAATCTAGGAATTGTAGCTGGGAAAGGAGTTAGTTCCCAAAATTGAAGTAGGGTACAACTGGTGGAATAAAGGGATGTAGATCTTGGATTTTTCAAAGGTATTGCTCTCTAAGGATCCCTTCCCTACCTTCCCAGCACCAATAGCATCCTCACCCTCTTGTATGGCTGCTGGAAATATAACAAAGATGCCCCAAAACAAGGGAAGGAAGGACAATGGTTTAGTAGAATCTGATCAAGGAGGAAAAAAAAAATTGCTTACCCCCACTGGTACTGGGGATTAAATCCAGGGCTTTGTGTATACTAGGCAGCTGCTCTACCACTGAGCTACAACTGTCACCTTTTAAGTTTTTATTTTGAGACAGGGTCTTCATAAGTTGCCCAGGTTGGCCTTGAATTTGTGATCCTCCTGCCTCAACCTCCCAATTCAGTGGAATTACAGGTGTGTACTACCACACCCAGGTAAAAAGAGCACTCTTACAGAACCTAAGAAAGAATATAAAAGTATAAGTTACCTATGATATGCCAAATACACTTCTTCACAGCACACAGTGAATTTTGGAATAACACCTAAGGTCAAATTGTGTCATCACTTTATCCTCTGTATCAAGTTTTTCCTGTTTTTTGTTTCAGAGCTTCAGCCTTACCTCTTGAAAAGCTATTAACACCCAGGGCTTCTTTTCTYCCTTTAAAAGCAGATGAATCACACATTATTGGTGTTTTCAAGGGATTTTACTTTTTCTTACTAATTGGTGTGAAGTCATGACAGACAGATGGAGATCCAGGATTCAATTGATTGCGTAACATTCAACTTCCTTTATAATTACTAACTGGTTTGCAGAAGAGCCAGAAATAGAACACAACTATTTAGACTAATAGTTCATGCATTATTCAACAAATATTTATATTGGGCCTCCTAATTACTCAGATCCACGGAAAATATATGGAGTTCTGCCTTACAAGAGTTTACAATCTTTATGAATCCACTTTTCTTTTATCCCAGTTCCAATTTCTTTCATGATCTTAAAATGGGGATAGAGCTGACTTTGTCATCCAGACTCAAGTAGACCTCGTGGTCAAGCCTTTTTCTTTTCTTACTTTCTTCTTCTTTTTTTTTTTTTTTTTTTTTTAAATTTTTTTTCAAAATTCATCTTTTCCTTTCATTCTTCTTTTATCACTGACTCCAAAGTATTAGCAGACAATTCCTTAGTAGAAATTTTTTATAAAATATTCCATAGTTTCTAATGTATTTTCTTGGCATAATCACAGTTGAGTTTCTATTATTCGCAAATAAGTAATTCTCAGCATGCAGTATATCCTCAGTTCTTGGTATTGGTGGCAGGTATTTAAAGAATATTTGTTGAATTAAAGCTATGAATTTTTCTGAGTTAAAGTTATCTAASTAACATGCCTGTAATGCCAGCAGCTCAGGAGACTGAGGCAGGAGGATCTCTAGTTCAAAGCCAACTTCAGCAAAAGTGAGGTGCTAAGCAACTCAGTGAGATCCTGTCTCTAAATAAAAAGTACAAAATAGGGCTGGGAATGTGGCTCAGGGTTCGAGTGCTCCTCAGTTCAATCCTTGGTATATAAAAAAAATCATACTCTTTAGCTTTGCTACACATCATTATTATTTTTGTTAATGTTAATATTTTAAAATACATTATTATTCCTCAATATGCAATGTTTGATTTTCTCTTTAACCAAAGAGTTTGGTAAACAGATGTTTAAAAAAAAATTAAGTAGTTGGGAATATTTGCACATGGGTTGTTTTATTTTGTTTATTTATAAATTTAAAGTCTGCAGGTCATAAATTGTGGATATATTACTTCTGTGTTTTGGAATTTTTCTTATTTCTTCTTGGAATTTTTTTTTAGATATATTCATATATTTAGTCAGATTCTAGTCAGGGGTTGGTAGGGAGACTGCTTTGGATAACTTTCTGTATAGCTGTTCAAATTATTATATGCCTGCCTTTTTGGTACTTGAACTCTGAATGGAAACCTTATTTCCCTGTTTTAACTCTTTAGAAGGGATATCTCTCTGTTGTCCTATATACTATAGCTCCTTCAAATATACAATGAGATATGTACAGCAGTAGTACGTACCTATTATCATGCATTGCTATTAGGATTAAATAAGTTAAAACAGTGTTAAATAAAACCTAGTGTGCTGACCATGACAAGCCTTTGAATAACAACTCCAGATATGTTATTATTGTTTTTTCCTGTAACTTGCAGTTTTATTTTAGTAGCATTCCACTTTGATAGAGATAGGATCATTTTCAATTACTCTAACTTCACTCTAACCAAGACAAACAGGGTAAGAGATGAAGAACAAGAAACAAAAGCCTTCCGAATATCAGAGAGGAAAGAAAAGAAATCACGGGGGTGTGTGGGGGGGGTGGGGGGTATAACTGAGATGTAATCACAGGGGGTATAACCTTATGCAAGACCTCCTTCAAAGAAAAAAAAAAGAGTTAATTTTGTTTCAAACATTTTTACAGGATTCTCTGAGAGAATACACAAGAGTTTGTGAGTAATGTTCCCAGAGCTGAATCCTAATAATGAGAGACACTAATTTTCTACTTTACCAAAACGTTTATGAGGACTTCTTCCTCTCCACTATTAAACCCTCAGGGTAAGTTTAGGTGTTTCATTTCTGGAGACTACTGTTATGCACAGGTGTTTGACAAAGAACTCTGAAGCACAATATAAATTTTGTGGGATTTAAGAGCCCTAGTTTTAGAGTCCAGCAGACTTTGGCCAAATTTCAATTCAGTCACTCAATAATTAAGTAAACTGCCTTAACATCCATGACTGGGTGTTTTCATATCTAAAATACATCTACTTTAAGAGGCTGTTAAGTGGATTCAATGAAATGCAAAATATGTAAAATTTAATTCAAAACACTGGGAGACCCTCATTGTTATACAAAATACATGTATGAAGATGTGAAAAAACAAAAAAGAATAGCGTTACCCTAGATTAGGTAGAGAGAAATGATGGGAGGGGAGGGAAGGGGATGGGGAGATAGGAAGGATAGTAGAATGAAACAAACATTATTATTACTGTGTGTATATAGGTGACTCCCATGACCAGTATACTGCAACCTGTATACTCAGAAAAATGAGAAATTATATCCCATCTGATTCAAATGTATGATATGTCAAGATCACTGTACTGTCATGTGTAACTAAGTAAAACAAATTTTAAAAATAAAAAAAAATACACTTTCCCTTAACTATCTCAAGTTATCCAAACAAGGAGCACAATAACTGACTCAAAATAACTAGCAAGTCAATGGAGCTTTAAAACACACAAAGAACTTTTCCATTACTATCTCACATGCAATCATAAAACAAATTATTATTCTTTTTGTATATAAATAATGAAGATAAAGTTGACCAGAATTGCCAAGAATCTTAGCAGATTAAGTGTCTTCACGCTGGAAAACATGCTTCTACACTCAAGTAGATGAAAATCTTTGTAAGGTTGCTAAATTCAACCATCACCCTCTCCTCTTTATTTTCAAAAGTTGTCCTTTGAACTCTCTAATCTGAAGACAAGAAGACCGTTTCACTAGTGATCAAGTCACTGTGCCTGTGACTATTTAATGCTTTACTTCCCAGCGCTTTCAACTCCAACACTTAAGTCAGGATAGGAGGAGGCTGGAGGGCGAGTCATCCTTGCTTTTGCACACCTTCCGCTCGGGCACATCCAGGACTTTTGGTCCTATAGGTAGGTGTAAGGCAGCCCTCTGATCCTAGGATTTTCACAACAGAGAAGAATTTGGACCAGGTTTATCCCTCGCGCTCATTGTTCTCTCTGCCTTGCGATCCTTATTGCTCCCAACAGATTAACTGCCTTGCCAAATTCTTTTGCAATTAATTGGCTGCCGTRGGCGGTGACCCATCTAAGCCCACAGTCAACCCCAGACACTCTAGGAACTCGGAAAAGGCTCGGGCCAGCCCATACCCACGCGAAATCATTCCATTTCCCGGTGACCAATCAGCGCTCCACACGCTGCCGCGCCAGCCAATCCTAGCAAGTACACACCGTTCCTACCAAGAAGTCCCACTAGTCCCCCGAGCACCTAAGTCCGAGCAGGGGTGGAGTTGGCGGGGAGCGTCCCGCCTTGCCCTGAAGCGCTCGATCCTTCCAATTGGCTGCGACTGGCAGGGACTGGATTCCCATTGGCTACTGCCAGCCGCGCCTCGGCTGGGAAACTGAACGGATCTGAACTCCTCTGTGTTGCTGGAGGCGGTGAGTCCGGCGTTTACCTGGAGCACCGGAGCTGCACCCTAGAACCTCTGGTGTTGGCGGGGAGAGGTAAGGATCCGTGGCGGGCGTGGAGCGGGCGCGGGGAGAAAGGTGACTGGAGCATCCGGGGGCGTCCTGCCGAGTGCGGAGCTGTTCTAGAGGTGGGGTGAGGGAGGCCGCGGTGGAGATCGGGGATGGCGGACCCTGCTGTGCAGGGGGATGTGGCCCTCACAGGTGAGAGGGAAAACGGGACCGTGGAGAGGAAGGGGAGACCGCCCGCCAGTTTAAGGATTTTTGACGCCAGCTAGGTCTCAGTTTCTTCATCTGTTAAATGGGGGAGGGGCGGCAGCGATCAGGCTGGTCAGGCTGTGGTGAAGGTTTTGCTGAAGGCATGCTCTGTGAAGGACACAGCGCTTCCTGGTTCTTGGTGGATGCACCGTTGGCGCAGGGTCCGTCCCCTCCCACCAAGCTCAAAGAGATGATTTCCCCGGTGCTTCCTATTTTCCAGGTCCGATGCTGTAGGTGTCAACTCATATAATTCCTCAAAAAATAACTGTTCCTATTTTTATTTTCTTAAATTTGCACTCGAGAAAGATTACCCGAGATTTTGGCGTACGGGACCCAGGACAAAATTTGACAAAATCATTGCGGAGTAAGGGTTTTCATGTTCAATCTCTTATAGCTGGTGATCAGTTTGCATCATTTTTTCAAGAATTCAGACACCCTGTGTTGGAATTTGGACTCCTTCACTTATTTAGCTGTACGATCTTAGACAAGTGACTTAACCTCCCTGTTGCTATTTTCCCATTCTGTAAAATAGGAGTAATGTCAAGATGAACCCTTATGGTTGTTTATGAGGATTAAATGAAATACAGTGTAAAACAACCAGAAAAATTGAACAGTAAGTGATCAGTAAATGTTAGCAATTACTATTTTAAATAAAGGATTAGAACATTAAGGATTTACACTAACCTGGACTCAAAAATTAAAGCTGTTATAGCATGAGAATTTAAATGGCAAGTGTTGTAAAAGCTAATAAATTAAGGTGAGCACTTGAAACAAAGGATCATAGTCACGCTGCAAAAGTACGCTTTCAGGTTGCATTCCTTTATTTAGTGAGTTCCTGCAAAGACCAGTTTAAAAAGTGAGAAACTACAGGACTGAGTTTGAAAAGCCAAATTACCAGATCAAGATTGATTGGAAAGGAAGCATATGCTGAAACTTATATGTTAGAAAATATAACTCAGGTCACAAGGCCTTAGTTTTCCCTTAGTTTGCACAACTCATTGGGGACAGTCTATGGTATATTAAATTGAATTTATTCACATTCATAAAACCATGTTAATTAAGTAATGGAAGGTTAAGTAATTCTGATTCTTGAGCTTTTTTAACAAGTGTATTCTAACCTAGTCATACTGCGTAAGTACAAATGGATCTTTATGGCATTTACTTTTTATTTGAGGGAAAAGTGTTTTATTGTTTTATATTTAGAAGGAAACCTATGACCATTTTACTGTGATATATATATATATATATATATATATATATATGATAATAACTGGAGTTGGATTGGTCAAGACTGGATGGCCTCAAGAACCTTTTTAACTTGAGAAGGTTGCTGACTCTATGATGGCATCTTCTGTTATCACTAATGGTCATTCAAAAACACGGACATAGAAAACATAAACAGAAAGGTTAATTTAAGGACAGGATGTGGAGATGGAAGTTAGTCAACACTTGCCAAGAGTATATAATCTTATAAGGAGATTATAAGATTCTAATAAGGTTAAGTGTTGCCTRTTCTGTTTGACATGTGTTACAGTTGGAGAATTTCCTGATATAAAGTCAGGAAATGGAATAAAAGATTGAAATAGTAAGAGGGAATCCAAAGTGCTCTATTGTATCAGGAGAGAACCAAAGCGTTGGTAACACCACTGCCATTCACTCTCTTTGGTGTTCAACATTTTGAGAGATGCTCAGTCATGTCTGTTCACACAGAGATAGAAATTTAGACAGTTACCTTTGTTTTGTTTTAAACTTATTCTTGATGAAAATAAATCCATGCAAGAATTAACCACCTGCTTAAATACTTTGCACTAAAAAGAAAGCTTCCTGATTTTATAGTTACTTTTTTCTCTTCCTACCTCGCATTTCACCAGCCTTTTAAGAAACTATAAGAAGTTTTTAATGCTTTAATTGTTATTATTGCTGTTAATGTTTATTTAAAGGGTGGAATTAGTCAACATTAAGAGCAAATATACTAGATTCTTGGTAAATACTTAGTGTAGACCTCTGAGAATTGTTATCTTTTCATTTTGGTCATGAGAATTTGTTATTCAGAAGCTCGATAATGATCAGTGTAAATGGGCACACATTAGATATCGTGAGGTCTTTCATAYATGAGATTACCAGCTCATTCTCTCTATATTTTCCCTTTTAAAATTCACTGTATTCCTAATTGAATGCTAGACATAGGAGTATAACAAGCTACATTTCCTGCCCCCAAATGTTTTACAATTAAATGGGAAAAGATAGTGTATAATTATAATACAGAGTTTCTGTAAGGAAGTTGGGGAATAATTACTAAGACAAGCACCTTAAAGTTTCAGATTCTGTGTGTGTGTGTGTGTGTGTGTGAGAGAGAGAGAAGAGAGAGAGAGAGAGAGAGAGAGAGAGAGAGAGAGAGAGAGAGAGAGAGAGAAAGAGAGATATATGCTGGGGATTGAACCCAGGGTCTATGTGCATGCAAGGCAAGCACTCTACCAACTGAGCTATATATCCTGCTCCCAGATTCTCATTTTTCTTGTTAGCTTTTATTGCTTGCTTTTTCTGTGCTGGATCTGCACAGATATATTTGCTTATGATAATTTCTATATCACCTCTGATTTCTATCAAGGAGTTTTGAAAAAATACTCTTATCTGCCAACCACAGGAACATGGCAGTGACCTTTGGGTTTAAAGAATGTTGTTTAATCATAATGATCACAGTAATAGATGAATTTCTTTTATAAGTTCTAAGTGCTCTAAGAACTTGTGCTTGTTTGACATAGCCCTCAATAGAGTCATTGTATTGTCAAGTTGGCAGCCACTTGAGTAGAGATTGGATATATTCGTGATTGGTAGACAATTAAAATGAGCTCATCTACTTTTTATGTATGGTAGATATGTACATATTATACATTTTACATCACTTAAATGGATCTTAAATTCTATATTCTTAAATTTTCTACACGTACTTTCTCATATTTCTATATAATTTTTAAATTTACCAGTTTTAATGCTTTGTACGCTTTACTTTGCGCTACTTAATATTGCCTACAACTTTGATTTATTCCTGTCACCTTTGGTTTTTAGATGAGTGGTTCTCAACCCTGGCTGGGTGACAGAATCATCAGTGAAACTTTTAAAAGACCTAGATTTCTGTGTCCTAGCCCAGAATAGATCCACTGAATCAGACTATTTGGCAGTGAGCCCTGAAATCTAATATGTAAAACCAGCAACAACTACTACAGAATATATAACAAAGGTGGATCTGATGGTCGTAGCATCTGTAGTTGAAAATTGCAGCCTTATTCCCTAGAGGTTTGAGGCTTGAGATTTTTATTTAGATTTTTTCATGTTGTTCATCGATCTTAGTAATTTCATGATTCTATAATGAGTAGCTTTTCTCCAAACTTTCTGTCCTTCAGTCTTTTACGGGAATGGGAAGAACAGAGATAAAATAGGGTAAAATAGGAATAATACTAAGAAATCAAGCTCTGGCACCAAAAGAAGACAAAGTAATACCAAATCTTGTTTTGAAGGAAAAACAATAATATCACTAAGGGTTATATGTGCCACATAGTATGTAGGTGTATAGGAGRTAGTGATGAATAAGACAGACAGGGATCCCTCTTGCATGAGTTGGGTATAAAGTGGTAAAAGAGATGAAAAATATCCCTATAAATAAACAAATTCATTTAAGATAGTGATAGGCACTATGAAGAAAATCAAATATATAATAGTAACTTGCAAAAGGCTATATTAAGGACAGGAGGTTTAAACTTAAGTTGTTGCTAATAGGTTAAGATTTAGGATCTAGCAGTCTAGGCAGAGAAATAACAGGTATAGAGACCCAAAGCTTGTGATAAGCTTGTCCAGTTTGAAGGACACAAAGAAAATCCCAGGGTATAGTGATGTGAGTATCAGAGAATTCTCACAAGGGTTGGGTAGATAGGTAATAAGGAATGTTCTAATTCCTTCAAAACAGATGTGAATAGGAATCTCTTTATTACTATTAAGGATGATTTCAAGCTTTTTGACTTGAGAACCTGAGCTCAATGACCATTTTAATAGTAAATTATTAACATGAGGAATACTGATATCAATTTAAATGCTCCTTAGGATTGAAAGTCCAAGTAGGCCTCCAGATCTGGAACTTGCCAGAGAGATGAGGATTAAAGGTTAGTATTTGGGTGTAAGCAGCACATATATAAGAGAGATAATGCCCCCTTTTGGCTCCCTCCATTTCCCCTTTTATTTTTATATATGGGCAGTTTTAATAACTGTCAGAAAAGTGTGATTTTCATTCCTGGCTATGGGTTATTCACCTTAAGAGCTTTTTAAAAAAACCCATGCCCTGGTTCTACTCTCAGAGATTCTGATTAGCTTATCTGTGGTGGGGGCCAGGTATAGATATCTTTTATAGCTCTTCAAGGAGAATCTATTGTGAAGCCAGATTTACGACTTCCTGGCATCAAACTACAGGATTTACTGATGCTCATCTTGGTCTCTGTGACAGAGAGAAAAATATGGAAGGCCTGCCTGATGTTGCTTCTTTTTCAAGTCAACTCAAAAACACTCTTATCCAGTACCATAATATTGAAGATGACAAATGGCGAGTTGCAAAAAAAACGGTAAATTAATCCAGTTACTTCTTATGTTTGGGGTATATCCAATAAATCGGTTGATGACTTTCAAAATGATATGAAAAATACAAATAAAAGATCATATTTGGAATGGATGTGCAAGACAGATAATTATTTAAATAGGGTTTGTGGATCATTTTACAAAGAAAGAAACATCAGTAGTAATCTTACCCTGCTTTTATTTTAGATATTAAACATGAGAGCAGGGTCATGGCAACCAGAGCCTTAAGAATAGCTTTCTGAATCAACATAGGGTATTATTATTAGTAATTTGAGGGAGTATAGTAATTGATAGTTTGAAATAGTTTCAGATATGGGAACAAGCCTTCAAGGGTGGTCAGTTAGTATTCAKCTTTACCAGTAACTTGCCCAAAATGTGACATGGCTAAGTGCACTCAGAACCAAGCCTGGAAGTCAAGACTCTTATAGACCTGGTTATTCTGTGCTTTAGTTGTTCTGATGTTCAAAATTACTTGGGAATTGATTGGGGGAAAATGTAATAATTAATTCAAAATAACACAATCATAATAAATGTGAATTGTTTAATTTTTAAAAAGTTGTGAACAATTTAGAATAAAATATTTAATGTTCTTAATGTCATAGTATCAGTAATAGGTACATAGTAAATAGATAAGATAGAAATAAGGCAAATAAAAATGGCCACTAGAATAGGCCCATCACTGAGTCTTCTTGTGTTTGAGTATTATTAAGCCACTAAAAATATTTTTGAAGGTCTGTAATTTTAAGTACAGTGTGATACAGAAGAAATTCAAATATGGATCATTTTGTGACATAGATAACTTTTATGCATCTCTAAAAATGTACTTAATAGTTTTTTTTTAATGTAAAGTCAAGTGTTTTTGACTTATAAAATTTCATTCCAGCGTTCCACCTATGTGATTTATGTAATTATCACAGTAATGTTTTTTATCTTTCTAGAAAGATGTAACAGTTTGGAGAAAACCTTCAGAAGAATTTAATGGGTATCTGTAAGTAAATTTTGTAGTTTTGTGTAACTCTTAAGATATTACTAAACTTCTATGTATACACTGTCACTAAATGATTATTGCTAACAAAATTTGGCTTTTGCTTTAAAAAATGTAAACTTTCTGGAAAGTAAATTGGTTCCTTATGATTGAGAACCTCAAAAATGTCTTATCCTTTGTGGACTGAGTTGGTGGTGAGGAGGTCATAAATAATATCAGATGGCTGATAAAATCTTAATTTCTTAGCCTAGGGTACATGACTCAGTGCTATAACATGCTGTATTCTAAGAATTTATCTTGAAGAAAGCGTCAGCAAGATAATAGTGATATAAATAGTTGCTATTTTATCATGACATTATTTAGATTTTTAAAAATGAAACAACCTGAAAAACCAATGGTAGGAGTGATTAAATTATGAAACCTCTGTGATAAAATATCATTTGGCCTTTAAAATTGTGTTTTTAAATATTATTTAATAGCATAAGAAAATGCTTATAATACAAAGTGAATAAAGCAGAATACTAAATGGTAGGTAGCATAATTATGAGTATTTTAAATATGTTTTTATTATTAAAATGTTTTCTTGTGACCAGATGTTCACTTCTAGATAGTAGCATTATGAAGATTATTTCTCGTTTTTGGTCTTTGCATATAGAAGAATTATGCCTATAGTTAAGAAAAATATATTGTTTTTCACATTCAGTGGAGACAGCTGCTTTGTGTAATCAAAGTAGAATGTTCACATCCTTAGGATTCACAACCCTTTAATAAAAATGAAATTGCTGGCTCCACTAAGTATATTCAGAATATGCTAAAGTATAATACCATAACTAATGTTTCCAGAAAGTTGAATTGTACAATATTTATAACAAGGACCAGAAAAGTAGAGTTTGAGCATTATAAACAAGTACGCAAAAGTTGGAAAGTATAAAAAGTGCCAAGGGAACACTATGCTTGGAAATTTGGAAAGACCTCATGGAGGAGCTAATATTTGAATTGAGACTTAAAGGAACAGTAGATGTTTCTTAAGGAATGAAGAACTGATTGAAATTCTAGTCAGAGGAAATTGCACCTATTACTTAAACATAGATGAGAGACCCTTTTAAAGAATATTATTTAGGAATGTGTTTGTATAGCCAGAATATAAAGCATGGGTGTGAGGAGAACTTGTGTCCAGAAAGGCTTTGGATTCTAAAGTAAGGAAATCAGTGTCACTTGCTCTCTGCACACTCCTCTATTTGTTCCTTAGGTGCTCAAAGGATTTTGAAATAATGCTGTGAACATGAAGAGTTCTAAGAAGAGGTTTTACCTGGGATCCATGGCTAGAAGTTCCTCTCATATTGTATACAAAATTTCCTAACAATATATATTTTCCTAGGAAAAGTTAAGACTTTTTTCAGATTCTTAAAAGAATATATGATCAGAAGAGGTAGAAACTGATAAAGTTTGAGTAGACACAGAATACCCAAACTAAGGCATGCAAGTTGAAAAGAGCAAGTGACTGTGAAAGAGATTTAATGATGGTAGTGGTGGGCCTAGTGGTGATGGTGATGATAACTAACGTGTTGAGAGCAAGATAATGTACTAAGTACTTTATATGTAAGAAACCATTTTAATAAAATCAAAGTGATTGATTCATTCTAGCTGTGGAATAGATTTTGAAGAAAAGGAGAGTCAGAGTTGAATTCCAGATTTCTAATTTGTGTGACTAGATTATTTTGTGTTTATTTCCCATCCCAGCCTACCCAAGTTAGAGAATATAAGAGGGAGGAGAAAATTTAGAATGAGGGAGATAAGTTTAGCTTGAGACATTTATAAAATGATTAAACAGCTTCAGATGCTTAAAAATAAGTTACTGATAGAGTTGAAACCAAACTATCCCATATTTCATCTCCCAAAGGTAGCTACTCTCCTGAAGCTGTGTGTATAATTTCTGTTTCAAACCTTGACCACACATTCATATGTCCATAAAAAAATAAAAACATATTATCTGATATGTTCTTGATATTATTTGTTTACAAATTTGTCTGTTGATAGATTTTTAGGTTATTGTTGATTCTGGGTTCATGTTTCCTTACACAAGTGATTTTCTCCGGGTCTTAGTGATGAATAACATCCAACTTTACTAGACATTGCCAAATTGCTCCTTAAAGTAGCAGTTTTAAGAGTTCTCACCTTCCTCCTTTCAACACTGTCACATTTTTAATCTGCTAATCTGAGGGGTATAAATGAGTATATACTTGGTTACTAGTGAAGTTGGCCATCTTTTGTATACTTATTGATATTTCAAGCCAATCTTAATATACCTTTTGTCCATCTTTTGTTTGGATTGTCTTTTTCTCACTGGATTATAGGAATCATTCCTGTGTCCTCTATAATAATTGTGTGTCTTTTTATATGTGTTGCAGGTATCTTCTCAAAGTGTATGAGTAGTTTAAAAATTATTTTTTTATGTGTGGTGTGCACATTTAAAATTGTAACTGATCTTTTGTATTATTTGTACTTTTGTGAATCTTATATATTCAAGAAATCCCCCTGTATTCTGAAGTCACAAAGATCATCTTGTATATTTTTTCTCTAAGCTTTACATTTTACACAGAAGCATTTAATCTATCTAGAATTAATCATTTTGTATGGTGTGAAGTGTGAATCCTAATTTATTTTCTTCATAAAAATTTTTGTTGAATCTAAATATTGCTTATGGAAGAGTACCTTTTCTCCCAATGATGTGTACTGTTACCTTTGAAGTGTGTCAAGTTCTGTGTATTCATGAGTCAGTTCTTCAGTGTTCACTGGCCTATTTTTCTGTACCTTTTCATTAAAAAGTTTGTAAAAATTAGGGTAAAAATATGCACAGACTGATATGTTTAATGATAACTGAGGAAAGAGTAATATACAAATTAAATGGAAGTATTATAGTGTTCTGTGGACTAGTTTTGACTATATTATAACATGAAAGGACTAATTAGATTTGAGGACAAAGGGTACTTTTAATAAAATAATTGGTAGAACTTAATTTACCAGAAAAGTCCTAGGTATTTACTCTTTTCTAAAAAACTTGCATTAATTTTTACTTCTACTTTCAGTGTTAGTTCTGAACTGTGAGGACATCTTGAAATTTTTCATTCTAATTGTATTTAACTTTAATTTTCTATCTCCAGCTATAAAGCTCAAGGTGTTATAGATGACATTGTCAATAGTGTAATAGACCATATACGCCCAGGGCCCTGTCGCTTGGATTGGGACCGTTTAATGACTTCATTGGATATTTTGGAGCACTTTGAAGAGGTATCTGTTCAGAATCATTACCTTCGGATTGTGTGTGTGTGTGTGTGTGTGTGTGTGTGTGTGTGTGAGAAAGAGAAAAGGGGAGAGAGAAAGTGTGTACTAGCATGTATATGCATGGGAGCATGAGCATTTGTACACAATTATATTCATATTCATTTTATCCATTGCTTTAAGAATAGGCGTGTCTAATAGGATACTCTTAAAAACATTTGAGTTTCCTCATATTAATTAAGGGGTATTAGTAGTCTAAGTTTGTTTTCTACAGTAGCTCCACCCTTACTGCTTAAGAAAATCTTTTTCGTGAATTTTAAAACTTTAGTTAAGGTTCAAAAATCTGAACTTCTGAAAACACCACAATTATATTTGGGTTTCTAGGTAAATGTATATTGTTTTTTCATTAATCCTAAGTCAAAATCAAAGACCAAAGTAAAAATGCTACCTTAAGCATTAGAGAACTGTGTATCCCAAACAACTTGTTCTTTTCTGCCTTTATTAATTCATTTCTTAATATATTTATGTTTAAATTAAAAATGTAATATTGTAGTTGAAATATTTGTAAGTTTTTATCTTCAGCAGTCTAAAACAGCCTATACCCCTAATTAGGAATTTAATTTCCTCATTAATGCAATTAATTATTAATCTCTAATTAAATATCTTATTTCTATCTGTATAATAGTAGTGAGTTTTAGAATAGGGATCTACACCTGTTAAAGTCACTGTAAGAATTATCATGTAATAGTAAAATATTTTAAATGAATGTTAGTTTTTTATTGGAGATTACATTATGCTGTATATGTGTATATTCCTGTAGTAGTAATATCTGTCTTATCTTTCTTCATTTTTAAGAATTGTTGTGTGATGCGTTACACTACTGCTGGTCAGCTTTGGAATATAATTTCCCCAAGAGAGTTTGTTGATTTCTCTTACACTGTGGACTATAAAGACGGACTTTTATCCTGTGGTAATTATCTCAAAATTCTGTACTTTCTTTAGTTTGGTTTATATATTTGAGTTTTCTGGACTGGAATTTTGTTTCTTTATGGAGATTTATTTTCAGCCCTCATAGTTAATATTAACATTTATAATTTTTTTTTCAAATTCTAAACCTTAGAGAGTATAATAACAACATAAGAAGGTTTTTAAAAATCTTTCTCATAATTTTTTGTTCCCAGTTATCTGGTATCCTTTAGTTAACAAGTTTCAGAAGTGAATCCACTTTAGACTGCCTCTGAGAAAGGAATTCAGTAAATGGATTTCCTTCCAAACCTGTTTCAGATACTGTCTTCTTGGCATGTGTACACACACACATACACACACACACATACATACACACACACAAAATAGACTTGATATATGTTAGAATATTTTTCTTTGTTTGAACTGTATTGTATTTTTCTTTTTATGATTTAAAATACTAATCTTGGAAGGCTCCTGTTTTCTAAATACATATATTTTTTAAATATATGTATTTTTTTCTAAATACGTATATTTTTTATGTATAGTATACACTTGAATTTACAGTTATAGGTAATCATCTACTTGTTTATGCTTAACTAGTCAGTATCAAAGTTAGATATAGTAGTGCCTGTGAGAAATAGTTGTGGTACCATAGATTAGATTATTAATGCCTTGAAGCTTGACTGTCACAGCCAAGATTTGAAGTTTCTAACAAGTTACCAGGATGACATGATGTCATCTGTTTTGAAGGAATTAGAACATTCCCTATTACCTATCTACCCAACCCTTGTGAGAATTCTCCTTAGTAATTATCTTCTTCATTCTGTCATGGTCACTCTTGGGGTTTTAATTTCCACCTATATTGATGAGAAGAAAAATATTTAAACAGTCATTGCTATTCACAGTTTTATTTTAAAATTGCCTTGTAGGAATAAGTCTTGACTGGAGTGAAAAGAGACCTGAATTTGTTCGTGGATATAATCATCCCTGTGGTTGGTTTTGTGTTCCACTCAAAGACAATCCAAACCAAAGTCTTTTGACAGGCTATATTCAGACAGATCTATGTGGAATGATTCCTCAGTCTGCGGTGGATACTGCCATGGCAAGCACTTTAACCAACTTCTACAGTGATTTACGGAAAGCCTTACAAAAGGCATAATATGTTCAAACTTGCARTACTGTGACCCCTGACTCTGCTCTTTCCCTCCTGCTGCAAGTCCTCTAAAGAKCATCTATTTTTCTCTTCTGCAGAACCTGTAGAAACATTTGGGATGTTTTTTGTAGCGTAATGTTTTATTTTATTCCTAAATTAAATTTCTGTATAAAAGAGATTATTGTTATTATTACATAATATTAATAATGTAATAATTGGTAATAATAATTAATAATCATTGCATATTATTATTATTACATTTTCGTTTGTCCATTGTTTGGTATGATAGTGTGTCTAGGAATGGAGAGTGTGACAGAAATGCATAAAGAAGTAAGTACAGTTCTTTGGCCTAGACTGTTCACATAAATTGAATAGTGCCTCAGTGTGAATATTTTGATTGCTTAGAAATTAGATGAAGCACAAACTTCATGTTTTCATACTATTTAAGAGCTTTATGAACATTTGTAGGATTTTAATTTTTTTGAAGGTAAATGTTAGTCTTTTCCTTTTGGTGTTTTCTATTAGTTTGCCAATGTCTTGAACAAAAGAAAAAAAAGCCTTTCTTTATATTTTATAAGATAGACTTCAATGTCAATTGAACTTGCACTACTTTAAGTATTAAAGAGACCAAAAATGAGAAAAGAATAGTAACTGCAGATATAATTCAAATACAATTTAGTTTTGATATCTAGTTAACATTCTTTTGTAATATCTTTAAAACACAATTGTGTCACTGTGTGCATTTGTTTTGGGAGTCTGAGAGCATTTATGCATGAATGTGATAATGCAAAACAACTGCCAAATATGTGTTGGATRTACTACGCTGATTGAGCAATAGTCCGGGTTGTGTGAAATGGCTGGTGGTTTCTAGTAATCATCAACAGAGTCATCTCTAGGAAATCARGATCAGTGAATGTACATGTTTCAATTTTAGAAGTATTACTCAACTCAAAGCACTATAAACTGTAACATAARCATGTAAACATTCACAACTCTGATATCACTTTTGTCTAAAACTATAACAAATATATTCATAGACACAGACATTTTGTATTGATTAGAATGAACTATTAKAGGTCCTTTGTTTCTATGGCTGTCTTAAGTCATCATTCTTTAATGATTTTTTTTATTTCAAATGATTCTTTGGCTGTTGAACTATCCACCCAGTTTACTTTTAAGTTGAGAACCTGAGCCCACTCTATGTGTCTTTGTAAATCTTGTATGTATATATAGGTTTGTGTACGTGTACATGTATTGAAATYTCAATGTTCAATGTCAATTCTTAATATGCTACTATTACTATTTCTATTATTTCATTTCTTTTTCCTTTTTTTGGTGGGGGGTAGGGGGGCATAATATGGGATAAAGTGAGCCCTGGAAATAATTACATGCAGGCAGGCCGCAGAAAAGCACAAAAGTATATAGTGGTTCAGGTGCATGAAGCTTTGATTTTTGTTTAATTTTAGAAATTTATAAGCAGCTACTAGGTGATATTTTAGTTTATTTTAGATCTGCTGAGCTCCAGCTGCATACTGCTTATTAAAAAACAGCTTATTGAGATAAAGTTGCATAATCTACAGTTTATCCATGTTAAGTCTATAATTGAATAATTTAAAAAAATATATTTATAGAGTTATGCAGCTAAAACTAGATTCCAGTTTTAGAACATTTCCATCACTCCAAAAAATCCTTTTTGTCAGTTTGCAGACTCATATCTAACCTAAGTTTACTGCAGTTGCCAGTATAAAGAAGATGATGAAAATGATTATAATAGGTCATTTTTGGTCTTTTTTTTAAGAGTGCAGGTGTGTGTGATTTAAACTCAGGAACCTTGTGATAATATAGTAGACATGTTATCTCTAATGTCATCATAATTTAATGTGGGATTGATATTAACGTATAATTGAGTATGCTGTTTCTATAAGCAGTGCTGTAGGATAGAAAAATAATCTAAGCCATGTATGTAATTTTAAAATTTTCTAGCAGCCACATTAAAAAATAAAAATAAGCATATGAAAATAATTTTAGTAATATATTTTATTTAACTCAATATATCCAAAATATTGTTATTTCAACATGTAGTCAATGTAAAAAAATTATTGAGATAGTTTATATTCTTCTGTACTAATTACTCGAAATCTAGAAGTGTGTTTTGCTGATTGGGACTAGCCATATTTTAAGTGCTGCTTAGCCACATGTCAGTGATTACTGTAATATTTATTATTCAGCATAGTTCTGTACTGTGTTTATTCATTTGTTTTGCTACAAGGTGAAGTAGATAATTTCATGAAATTACTCTCTCAAGTAGAAGTCTTCTGTAGTCTCTATAGTCTTCAATACTTGCTAAATAGGATATCTGAGTTTTATAAATAAATCAATAAAATAAAATTATTGAGTGACCCCATGCTTTGGGCCTCTAGTAAGGTGCTACATTATTGGAGGCATGTGGTACAGCAAACTTCTTACTTTATGTGGTTCAGTAGTAGAGCAGTTTTTGCCCACATCTGAGGTACTGGGTTCAATTCTCAGCACCACATAAAAACAAATAAATAAAATAAAGGTATTGTGTCCATCCACAACTAAAAAAAAAAAAAAAAATAGTGAGCCCAAATATTTTCCTTTCCTTTAAAGATAAATAACTTTTGATAAGGCAATTGAGGAAGTGAAAAAATATAATCTGCCTTGTTATATATGGTTGATTGTTTTCTGTACTTTATAGTTAGTATGTTCTAGAAACTTGTATATATAGAAAATAGTCAACATAGTACTGTTTTCAGCACATAGTGGCTATTTTTTAAGGAAATTAATTTCATACACTAAGAAGTAATTTGTCATAAATGACACTTTTGCATGAAATACTGGTTTGTGTTGATAACTCTTAATTAATTCTGGATGTTTAAAACAATACTCAGCAAAAATAATTATAGGAATTTGATGTTCTGTGTCAATCTATAATTTAAACTGCCAGAGTAGGAGAGATTGTAAGTTAGGAATCTCTTCATCTCAATGTTCCTTGAGATTGGATGTATTTGAAATTGATTTTACATATGTAAAATGGAGATTTTAATTTCTTTTTCCTCCTCTGCTCCTAACTGAAGGACATTTTATCAGTACTCAGGTTGAATTAAATTAACATATGAAGCTAAAAACTCTGTAATTGAGGTTGCCTCTGGAGAAGATAGGAAAGCCCTTAATTGTATATTGAACTTTTAGCTCAGAAATTTGATGTAGATAGCAGTTTTACCTCTTTACTCAGCATACTAGCATCCTTAGTATCAGATGTTAAATCCAGTTTCTTTTTATTAAGTGGATACTGTAGCTTTCTCAACTCAATATTTAAATTAACAAAGGAGCTAAGGGAAATTTGGACTTTGTCAGATTTCCATTARCACCTGTATTGTATAATTACTAGTCCATTGTATTTCCATGCCTTTCTCTTTTTCTTTTTTCCGTGGGAGCGATCAGATCAGGGCCTCATGCATGCTAGGCAAGTGCTCTACTATTGAGCCACATTGCCAGTCCTCAGTTTATCTCACTGCATTTCTGGAAATAGGGCATAATAGGATTGGAGCATAGAAGAAATATTAGATTCATTCAAAAGCACAGAAAGTTGGAATTATAATTTCTTCATTATTGTGTTGCTTCTAAGTGTTTTACATATGTAGCTGAATATTAAAATTTTATCTTTTACAATTCAAGAAAAGGTGTATTCTATATAGATATAGAGTTTATAATTATTTTATGAAGCAGTTTATAAAATAATAGTAGCATTATTAGTATGAATACAATGCATACTTATTTTTTAATTGTATGAAATATATTAGAATAAAAACTTGTAGACACATTTGTAATGGGTCATTGATCTTGTCTGTGTAAGTTTCTTTAACCTTAAATAATGACTAAATATTTAGTTTTATATATCTAGATTTAAAGTACATAATTTAACTTCATAAACAGTTACAAGTGAAATATATAAACCTGGAAAATAAAGTTAACAACACATAGGATAATCTCCCACTAATCTCATATATGTTAGCCACAATACTGCTGCTTCCATGGTGCTGAATCTTTGCTACTGTATTAGCTTTCCATTACTATTACAAAATACCAGATGAAATTAACTTGAGAAAAAGTTTACTTTGCCTCACAGTTCTGGAACTTCCAGTCCAGAAGCAAGTGACCCCATGCTTYGGGCCTCTGGTAGGGTGCCACATTATTATGGAGGCATGTGGTACAGCAAACTTTTTACTTTATGAGCCCTGAAATGAAGAGAAAGAAAGAAATCAAGGTTCCCCATCCCTTGCAAGGGCATGCTCCCAGTGACCTGTGGAACTTCCATTGCCACCTCAGACTATTACTACCCTAGCACCAAGCCTTTAACACAAGGGCCTTTTGGGGGCATTCAGCATCCAAACTATAGTAGTTAATATATACTTAGATAGAATGTATTCTGCCTCCATTGCAGTAACATATGGTCAGGGTTTATCATGCATGTGTTCAAATAATGTACTAAGTTGATTAGAAACTATGGATAATTTCATTTAGAATTGAAAAAAGCTGTAAATAAATATAAGGACACCCATGATTCATATTATGAAAAAGCAATTAGGGATGTGTGTAATGGGAAATATGATTATAAAGTGGCTTAAACAAATGGAAAGTTATTTTCCTCATTTAATAATAATTTAAAAAAACCTGGTACTATCATCAGAATGTTTGTGTTCTCCCTGTAAATTCGTATAATGAAATCCTAACCCCCAAGGTGATGGCTCTAGGAGGTGGGGCTCTGGGAGGTAACTAGGTCACCCTCATGAATGTATTTAGTACCCCTATAAAAGGCCCAAATGAGATCCCTCACTCCTTCTGCCATGTGAGGACACAGTGAGAAGGCACTCTGAGGAAGTTGGCCCTTACCAGGTCCCAAATCTCAAAGCACCTTGATCTTGAAAGTCCTCCAAAAATGCCAGAGATAAATTTGTTTACCAATCACCTAGTTTATGGTATTTTGTTATAGCCCCTGGAATAGGCTGAGACATCTGGGTATAGGTAATTTGTCAATGTTTCTCAGCTCAAGGTTGTCAGACTCAGTGTTTCCACAGTCGTCTTGATCTTTCCCTTGTAATTATAAGATAACTGGCTGGTCCTGGAAATACAGGTGCAG